GAATACCTGAAGTAAGACAACAGCAGGAGGGTTGGAAAGGACAGAAGAGGTCTGACAAAATAATTAGAGTTGACCTTTGAAGAAATATATAGGACGTTCAAGATATTTTTAGCATAGATAGCTATATTAGTGTCATTGCTTTTGTTGGTTTTTTGATTTTTGTGTGTTTCTTTTTGAGATGAGGAAAGAAATAAAACTTAATTGGTGCTAAATGACAAATAGCAGTCTTTGCCTATTGATTGTATAGACTCAAAGTGAATCCTGGATGTTTAATAGAAGGAGATGTCCAATAAGCTGATGACACATGGTCTACATTTTCTTTTTTTAAATTAATTTATTTAATTTAGAAACAATCTTATTTTACATATCAATCTCAGTTCCCTCTCCCTCCTATCCTCTCATGCCCCCTACCAATCTCTGCATCCCACCCTCATCCACTCCCCAGGGAGGATGAGGCCTTCCATGAGGGTCATCAAAGTCTGTCATATCATTTGGGAGGGGGCCTAGGTCCTCCCCTTTGTATCTAGGCTAAGCGTATCTCTCCGTGGGAAATGGGCTCCCAAAATCCATTTGTGCACTAGGGATAAATACTGGTTCCACTGTCAGAGGCCCCATAGACTGCGCAGACCTCCTAACTGGCACCCATATTCAGAGGACTTGGTTTGGTCCAATGCTGGTTTCCCAGCGTTACCACAGGGGTTCATGTGACAGGTCAGCTGTTTCTGTGGGTTTCTCTAGCATGGTCTTGACCCATTTGCCCATCCCTCCTCCTTCTTTACAACTGAATTCCAGGAGTATGGATCAGTGCTTAGCTGTGGGTTTTGAGCGGCCCAGATTGGAATACTTATTTATGAGTCATCAGTGAGGGTGATAAGTGACATAATCAGTGGTTCAGATGAGCTCACATGAGGAAATACAAGTCGAGGATAAGTGTGTTTTGTATTCATAAGTCTATCTTGTTGCCTAAATAGGTTGGGTTAGGTGGGCTTATATAGAATAACTAATGACTGCAAACATAGGAAAAGTTTCTCACTAAGCATAATGGCTAGGAATGTAACCTGGTTATTTCTTTCTATAAGATTAACCTGATTTTTAAATGGACCTCCTATAGCTTCACGTGACTCATTTATTAACAGTATACATGTCATACATGCATTTTTTTTTTTTTTGCTACTTAAAACACCACAATGAAGAAAGGGCCTGATTGTCTAATATTAGAATTGTATGTGCAGATTCTATCATGGAAGCCCAATCTAATTGTCTAAGAATGTAGGGGATAGTGGACAGACTATAACTTTCTCCTGTAGCACATGTTTTGAACTTATGCTAAAAGAAACTTTGTGTAGGGTAGTCCAATATATTGTCTGTGTCCTAGAATTATGGCCTACTGCTTGTTAAGAAGATGCTAGAGGCATATCATCAAAAATAAATGGAACTGACCATTTTTGTTGCTATTTTAGTGTTGTTGTTTGTCTTTTTTTTTTTTTTTATGAGATGGACACTGCCTTCTGCACTAAGAAGCCAGACTTGATCCTTTGTTTAGTTTAAATGGCACATTGCACTCATTTCTAACTGGCAAACCAATACTAATAGATATGACAATAATTATTTTCTTTTTCCTACTTGTTCATTCTGAATTTGAGAGATCCAGTGAAATTTAAGATTCTAGAAATGAACAGTCTCCCCAGTTCTGACATTAGAATAGTCAGAGTGTTAAAGTCATTGCACTGTTTTTAAGCAAAGAAAAACTAAAATAGACTTTAAACCATCTGGAGTTTGTAAACAGTTATCATTGCTTTTACTTATAGTCAGTCTAGGGTTTTTTTATACTTGTAATTTTAAAGATGTGAAACTCATAGGTTATAGTAGGAAATATTTAGCAGGCAGATGTTAGGCTTTGGGTTTTCTATGCCCTGTATTCATATTCCAAATATACTATTTCTTACCTGAATTGAGGTACATAAAGCTTAAATGAAAAAATGAATATAAAATGCCAACTTTAATGCATGTAGTTTTCTTTACCCTTAGTATGAATTCAACTAATATTTCTTAAATTATGTTCTGCTATGAATTCAACTAATATTTCTTAAATTATGTTCTGCTAAACCTATTTCATTCAAAACCCCCTCTCAAAAATGTGCTCATTGGTCATGTAAAGTTGGAAAGATAAATGCTGGCAAAGAAAAATGCTATTAGTCTTTTTTAATTATAAGATATTGGGGCATAGAAAAATATTGTTAGAACTTACCTAGAGCAGTTCTCTTTCTCACTGAGCAGTCTTATACCGTATTGCCTATCTGTCTGAATGTATTTTCTACTATGGGTTTCTGAAGGAAAATGATTACCAGATGAAAGTGCTTGAATGTCAGTAGCTCTGTCTTTTGGAACTTGGTTGTATAAGCTATTTCACAATACAGTATGTAATATAACATCTTGTATCTATCTGTCTCTGCTGCTGAACAGTCAGTAAAAAATTATAATTATGCTGCCAAATAGAAAAGAAAGAAGGTTTTATTATAGAACCTATATAAAATATTTACTGCTCATCTCCTCTGCTTGTTATTTGTTTTCTGTTGGATAAAATTATACAAAGTGTACGAAATATTTAGAATTGCTTCAGCAGTGTTTTCTTATTTATTGATTTGTGTTAATTGATACAGTTGTTGAGATCATTTCTTCTTTGTATCTGGAAAAACTTAGGTAGCATTTGGAGTAGGTTATAGAAAACTATGGAAAAATTGAAATCATAGTTTGTACAGTTTTAATATCAGCATTTCACATAATAATTGAGTGGGGATTATCTTAAAATAAAAGAAGAATGCCTCATAATTTTTCTCTATTTTTTGGTAAAGACTTTAGGATACTTAATTATCATGGGACATTAGAGGGTTTTAGATTCTAGTATTATATTTTCCGTTTTTATATCATGAATACTTATTTTCTGTTTCCCAGAGACTCTAGTTTTAAGGAAGTGTTTTTCATCTTCAGAAGCGGTTCCTGACAGCAGAAATATCCTTCCTTTTCCATAATCAAATGCTTCTTTTACTTGATGTACAGAGGCAGTGATGGCATGAAGTTGGCAGATAACGTGCCATACCTTTTTTCCCTTTATTTTTCTCTCATTTTCACTTTGTTTTTAAATCATGTTTCTGAAGCAAAAAAATAAATAAATAAAAAAATAAATAAAAATAAAAACAAGTAATCTAGTTTTATTTCCCCCTGTAGAATCAGTTTTAAACATAACATTTTAAACATAACATTTTAAACATAAACATAAATGGAAAAACATTTTATAAATTGGATTTAAATGTCACGGTTCTAAAGTCATCTCTTTAAAGATAAGATATTTCATGGATTTAATTTCTATCATATCTATTGTAGTTTGTTCCACGGATCATTTTTGAATGTCATATTGATTTTTTTCTGTTTCTCTTGATATTCATACCTAATGTCTTTGTTTAAGGGGTGTCATAAACCATATTTAAAATCCATATTTAAAAATATCAGAATGAGTTCAGTCAGACTCTTTTGTTTTCATAGTAAGTTTACTAATAAATGTCTTGCCATATTTTGTCAGAAAGACCACAGTAATGAAAACCATGTTTCACCTTTTACATACATAATTGGATGGAATCACAGATGTTAATGTTAGCAACAAATCAACAGGAAAAGTAGAAAATGGGAGCTTCATGGAAAAATACTAGGAACAATTAGCTCTGTCAAATACCATATGACCAAGTTCAGGGGAGAAAAATAGGTTTTGACCAGGAACTGACCTCAAGTCATTTAGTAGCGGAAAGAAGCACCAGAATGTTTCTTCTTATAGTTTTCTTAGGCTTTTCATAATTAGGTGAAAATACCTTGGAAATTGACACATTGTGGTCAGTCCTCAAAAACAGATGATTTCTGGTTTTCCTATATTTTATGGTGATAATTTTCAATTGTACAGAGAACTTCGAAAAAAACATCATATTGTGAACACCTATGAGTTAACTACATAGGTTCTATAGTTGCCATTTGTATGTAGTGTTTGTTTCATTCTCTGGATTCATGAATCTTTCCGTCTTACTGGTTTGTACACATCATCAATTTCTGTCACTCAGTGTGTTAGTATAAACATCACTAGTGAACACTTAATATTGTCTCTTTTCACAGATAAATTTTCTATATTGTGAAATGTACAGAATTTAAGTATATCATTTAAGTATGTCCTTAAGGTTACATGTCTTATGTAATTAAAAACTTACCACTCCATCTCTGAGGCAACCACTCTTACGATTTTTTAGTAATGGATTAATTTAGCTTGTTCTTGACTGTCCCACTATTGGAATTATGCAATATGTACTCTTTATGGCTTAGGCTTGCATTTGGAATCAAAGTTTTGAGATTGATCTATGCCATTTTGTCACTATTTTATGTTTTTACATTGCTAAAATATATAAATCCTATGGATATAGCATAGTTTGTTTATACATTTTCTTGTTGATGATATTACCTTGGGCCTTTTAATGTGATGAAAATAGTTTTCTTTATAAAAATATGTTCTTCTCTTGTGTGATCACTTATGAATACATAGCTGGATTATAGGGTAATTGTGTATTTTTCATGAAGCTACAATTTATTTTTGTAAGTTTATCAATTTACACACACCATTCCATTAGTGCCCAGCATTATGACTCTTAACTATTCTTGTGGATCAATATCAGAACTCATTATGCTGGGGCTTTGAGACTGAGTTCTCTTTGATCACTGAAGAAAACTCTGTGGAAGGCAAAGAATTTTTAAACTGTTATATCAGAAAAAGTTGCCTTTGAGATCTGAGAATAGCCATTTGCTTACACTTACTATTATTTTCTCTTATTTCAGCAACCCAATTATTGTGCTTTGGAACATTTAGGACAGTATTATTGGAAAATAATAAGAGTTTAAAGGTCAGGCATGGCTTAGGTTATAGTGATCAGTAACTTGATTTTCATGTTCTTTGTATTTCATTATTACAGACGAAGCTACTATGGAGGAAATTGGGCCAGTTTCAGCTTTTCAGGACTGTTGTCCTGGCTAAAGGAATACCAGGTAAAATTCTTATCTGATATTGCAAGTCACTAGGATAGATCTTGTGTCAGGTAGTGTCTACTTATTGAAGAGATGTTTTCTTTTTCTGTCATGTGAAACAAATACCTTATTTTCATTCAAGTACTTGGCAAAAATATGCACAATTGCCTTTTTAGCTAATGATTTATAATGTATATAATATATACATATATTCATATTTATATATATATATACGTATATACATATATATTCATCTGAATCATTTGCAGAAATTTTACCTAACATTGTAAAATCTCACCTATTATTAGTTGTTCTTTGTATTACTATATAAAAATACAATGTACTATCAGTTATTTGAAGATTAATATTTAATTTGGAAAATCCTCTGGTTTGTATGTTTATTTCTATCATGTGTCAGAGGCAGTTAAAGGAAAAAGAAAGAAAAAAATTGAAGTTCAGAAATTATTTTTCCTCTGGTAGCTTCTTGTTACTATAACTGTTGAGTACCCATCATAAAGAGTTGATGGCAGATGTCATTCTGTAAATATGTTTCTCCTATTGGTTAATGAATAAAGCAGTGTTGGCCAATAGGGAAGCAAGATAGGTGGGACTAGGAGAGGTGGAAGATTCTGGGAAATGTAGGATGGAGCCCTGATGTCATCTCAGGAAGAGAGGACACATAAGTCTGGCGTTCTCACTATGATAAGACCATGTTAAAAAAATTATATATATATAAAATTATGGGTTAATTATGTAGACAGAGCTAGCCAATAAGAAACCAGCCAACTGATTCATAATTAATATAGTGTCTGTGTGTTATTTGGGGGCTGACTCAGCTATGGGACGAGGCTGGTGGGAAAGTCCTGGTAACAAACAGTTTTAGAGATAAGTGGCTCTGTGGTGTGGTTATTTAAGTCATGCCATGTAGTTTAACATTTTTTATATGACACACTTTATATAGATATGGGTATATGTGACTTGAATATAACTTATGCTGAGAATATCTTACATGAACTCATACTGTACTATTTCTCAAATTAGCTGAGAAAGTTGGGAATAGAGAATGATAATATTCCAGGAATCTCTATTCATTAGCTAAAAACTATTATATACTTCTAACATTCCATTACTCTACTAAGCATGGTGCTTACTTTCATTGATTTAATGGAATATATCAGCAGTAGCTTTCCTGAGGACAAAAGCATGGGTGAAAAGCCACAGTGATATTATAGTTTAAATATCATTGCATAAAAATGACTGTGTCCCTCTGGAAAACATGCAGAGAGTTAGAGACTTTGAAATGCTTATCGCTAAATGGAATGTCTATATCATATCATATACTGTCTATCAAAACTCAGGGATCTATGCTGATGATGGCATAGAGGTTTATAAGAGCCAGAGGGTAGATGACTTGAAGGAAGTAGCATTTTCCAAATACAACAGGGCCTCAGAGACTGTATACCAAAGCTAGCTTTTGATAGATTTTATGCAGTTTCCCTCTGCCTCCTTTGAAGCTGGCACGCTGTTGGAGTCAGTCAGTTACTCTGAAGCATTGATTTTTGTTGTGATAAAAATAAACACATGAATGTAAGACAAGATACGATTTTCTTTTAAAATTTTAAGTTCAGATCTTTCATTTTAGTTAAAACTCTTTTTCTGTGTTTTGTTTAGGAAAACAGTGATGTTGTGACTGAAAATTCATCATGGCAAGAACAAGTATTTGAAAATGAGGAGGCTATTCTTCTTAGTAGCAGGGACAAAACAATTCAACATGTAGAAGTATTTTGTTATGCCAGGTATGAAAATTATTTATGTAGCATTAAGTAAGAATAGGTTTTCCCCCTTTTAACACTTTTTTTTTTTTTCAGGAAAATTGGATAATAAGGATATTGCTGTAGTAAAATCAATAAATCAATGCATTGGCTTTCCTTCTTTTTCAGCTATAACTTTCACTGTTCTCTAGTTTTAAAATAATAACAACATCTAACAATGCCATACCTTTCATTTTACCTTTTTAATAACCCCATGTTACAATAGGGCTGTGCTGGTTAGTCTGTCAACTTCACCCAAGCTATGGCCATCTGGGGAGGGGCAACTTCAATTGAGAAAATGCCACTAGGCCTGTAAGCAAGTCTGCAGGGGCATTTTGCTGATTAATGATTGATATAGGAGGGGCCAGCTCAGTAGGATCAGTGCCACCCTTGGACATTTGTCCTGGGCAGTATAAGAAAGCAGGCTGACAGTGCAAGAGATGACTCAGATATTAAAAGCACTTGCTATTCTTGCAGAGGGCCCAAGTTTTATTCCTAACAATAACAACATGGTGGTTCACGACAATCCATAACTCTACTTACTTCTAGGAGCTCAGGTGCCCTCTTCTTTCCTCCTTGGAAACCAGGCATGCACTTGGTATATATGCATACATGCAGGCAGAATACTCATGTGTATAAAATAAAATAAATAGTTTTTTTTAAGAAAAAATGAATGTACACAAGACATTGATTTTTACACTGCTGTGTAAGTGTGGTATAGCCACTATGGATGTCAGTATGGATGCTTCTTGAATAAATTAGCAATTGGTCTTCCATTTTTAAATTAGATTTGTTTTCTTGATGTTCAGTTGAGTTTGTTGTAGATACTGGTCACCAATACTCTGTCACAAATATACCTGGCAAAGGCTTTCTTATACTCTGTGGGTTGCTTCTTCATTTGACTGGCTGTTACCTTTGCTATACATAGGCTTTTTAGCTTTGCATATTCCCATTACCCATTATGAGGGATTGTTGTCTCCTACCCTATTGGTCCATGAGATGGAACAGTTGGAAGAACCCATTCCTTTATTTTTACATTTTTAAATGTATGGGAATGTATCTTTTTATGTTGCTTAGCTCATGTCTCTGCTCATGCCTCATCCTCCCAGAGTGATGCTATTACAGATGTGCACCCTTCCCTGTGTTTATATAATGTTGGAGATCAAACATGTTGATTCCTGCAAGCTATGCAAGCACTCTATACTAATTGAGCTACATTCCCATCCCTGTTTTTTATTTTAGTTTGAATTTTACTGATGGCTGATTTTGTGTATTTTTCTTGTACTTCTTTTTATCATCGATGTTTTTTTTTTTTTTTTTGGGTGAACTGTCTGTTGATTGATGAAATCTTTTTCTAGTTATGTGTTCTTTGTTAACTGTGTAGTTTAAAAATCATGTTCTCCTTAACTGTAAATTGTTGTTTCATTCTCTTTAAACAGGGTATTTTGTAGAGCAGGCTTTATAAAAAAATTAAGAGATGTCAATGGAAAGCTTTTACAAAATTTAACGAGCTGCCATTTGCTCATCTTTCCTTCTGTGTATTATGTCTTTGACATCGAGTCTAAGATCTCTTTTCTTGGATGTACATCCAGAAGATTTTGTCTCCTCAAAAAGTACTTCCATGACCCACTTTGAGTTTACTGTTTTGTACGTGGCATGAGGTGAATTGTCTCCTCATTCCCCAACCTCAGAATATCATTTGCTTTGACATCAGACTCTAGGGAGTATGAAGATTATTTTATCAGAGTTTTATCCTGAGTGCTGCCTCTTTGAACATGCTTTTACTATTCAAAGGTTGTTTTCCTTTAAGTTATCTTTTGCAGTTAAACAACTGAGTAATGAAAGGGGAACAAAAAGTACCTGCAGTTGTTGGTTATTATTTTTGTAGCAGTAGCTGTAGCCCTCCTTAATATGTCTTATTACATTTGATTTGTTTTATTCTGTGCCAAAGCCATGTGAATGATTTGTTACAAGTGGATAAACTGAAGTTCAGTGAGAGGAGGTTCTCATGAAACCAGGATTTCAAATCACAATTTTGTAAGTCAGAAGCCTATGCTATTTCCATTGTACCTCTTTTGCTTTTGCTTTTGTTTTTGTGAGAGAGGACCTTACTGTATTGCCCAGCTTTGAGCTTTGAACTCAAGAGGACATAAGGTATTCCAATATCCTTGATTTGTTGTGATTGTACTCTGTATGCTCAGAAATACTTCTTAGTTTATATGGTGGGGGGGAGAAAGTAACCATATTTCTAGCTTTAATTCTTATATAGATTAGGAGAAGGCACACAGCATTAAATAATTGGGGGCTTACAGTTCAGAGGTTTAGTCCATTATAATCATGGTATGACATGGTGCTAGAGAAGGAGATTCCCCCATCTGTAGCTGCCTATCTGATGTTTCCAGCAACGTATTTTATTTTTACTTATTTTTAATTATACATAGTTATATATGTCTGCATGTGAGTTATGTGCACATGAATGCAGGTACCAGTGGAGTCCAGAGGCATCAGTTCTCCTAGAGATGGAATTATACTCAGTTGTGAGCCACCTGACATGGGTGCTTGGAACTGAACTTGGGTCCTCTGGAAGTGCAGCAAGTGCTAAGTGCTGAGCCATCCAGCCTTCCACCAATCTATTTTAAAATTGCCCTGACTTATGACTGTTTTTGTTCTGCTACTATCAAACTTCATGAAAGTGCTTCCTCATTAGAACATGGAACATATGGGTGTGTGCATATGATTGCTGGTGTTCTCATAGACCAGAGGTAACAGATCCTGGAGGTAGAGTTTCAAGTGGATGTGAATTGCCTGATAATGGTTGCTGGGAGTGGAACCTGGGTCCTCTTCATAAGCAGACTTTTCTCTTATTTCTTCAGTCCCTTCACCTTTTTTTTTTAATTAAATTTTTTGTTTCATTTTACATACCAACCCCAGTTCCCCCTCCCTCCCCTTCTCTTGCCCTCCTTTCCTACCCCTGCATCCACTCTTCTGAGGGGATAAGGACTCCCATGGGGAGTCAACAAAAGTCTGGCATACCAAGCTGAGGCAGGACCAAGCCCCTCCCCACCCTGTATCAAGGCTATATAAGGTATATAGTCTCCAAAAAGCTAGTTTATGTACCCAGGTAAAATTGTTGTCTCACTACAAGCCCCTTGCCCCCAATAGATCAAGCCACATAACTGTCACTCACATAGCATTAATTATTCCCACTAGTCACACAAATGAAAATAATTCTTAGACATAAAATATCTTGAATGTTAATTTCATATTCATGCCTTTTTCTTTAGCAATAAATTAATTTTTAAATTAATTTTGTTTGTATGAGTATGTATGTTTTATAAGTGTATGCTCGCATGCATGTGTGTGTGTGTTTGCTGGAGTCAATTCTCCTTTCGACCATGTGGACCCTAGGATCAGGTTCAAGTTGTCAAAATTGGTGGTAAATAGCTTTACTCACAGAGCCTAGGAAGAAGACATTTTATTGTTCTAAATTATGTTAACAACATATTTGTTTTGTTTTTTATTGTGGAATATAAATGACTAATATTTCCCCCTTGTTGATATAAGTGACATAAGATTAAACCAGAACTGAAAATGTGATTCTACAATTAAAATGGACCGACTTTTAATGGTGGATTGATATATCAAAAATGAATATTTTATTGTGACAGGAATCTGAAATTCTACTTCTTCATTTTGAACTCCAGAAACATAAACAGTAAACTTCTTGAACAGTATTAGCTGTTCAATAAGAAGAATGAAAAAAAAATCGATATAGTGTACACTGCATTTTTTCAGTTTAGAGGAAGTTGTTTATTATTGTGTACAATAAGTTTGTTTCAGGCTGTGAAAGCATGCCAATTAAAAGTTGTTGGAACCAGTTGTATCAAGTAGGTTGTCAGAGGATTTGTAGCTTATTTGCCTGTTGCAGTACTAAGGAGTACTAAAGGTGTACTTTTATCTTTCCATCCAGGATTACTTGAGTTACTTGCTAGATAGTTGTCATGATTCCACATAATTTTCACACACAACTAAAATCTTTATACAGGAAAGGAAATGGCAGATTATAGATTTATAATTATAGTTTACATTTTCATTTATGTTTCATTCATATAAATAAAATATATTATAACATAATCACAGATTAGAGAAAGTCTTTGCCAAGACTTTTAAAGGATTCTACCTTAACTGTTTGGATAAAACTGAAGTACATACATATTCTTAAAGCCATTACACCAAAAAGGAAATAAAATTACAAAATAAAAGTTTGATTGTTCATGAATCATTCCTAGGGCTGGGGATCTTCTGCCCAATAAATTGTCAAGAACAAAGTGTATCTCATAGTAAGGAAAAACACTGTTATGGTTGAGTAGGGAACCAGTGTTACCTGCTGCTAATCTCATGAAATTTTTTTGTTCTTGGGAAATGTAATGAAAGTTTGATATTTTAGCTTTATTCTGTAATGTGTAAAGCATTTAAGTTGGTAACAACTAGACAGATTTCTATAATATATTACAGAAAGTCAAGATTAATACAATTTTATGGAATAGTTTGGATAGTCTGATTTCTGTAATTCTTTTGAGTAGTCTTGGAGTATTTGTTGTTAGGAATAAGAGCCTGGAAAGCAATATAATATACTATGCAAATCAAAAATGAATGGCCTTAGAACAAAGTGCATATATCAATTAAAATATCACAATTTCTACAACATTCTATATTGGGGAAGAAAATGTGCAAAAGGTGAAAACTAGTGAACTGTAGTTGAAATTTTTGTTAGGTTGCCAACAAGCTTCGAAAATAAAGACACAAAGATTTACTATTAATTATGAATGCTTGGCCTTAGGTTAGTATTGTCCCACTAGCTCTTTTTACTTAATTTAACCTGTTCCTGTTCATCTACATTTTGCCTTTTCTTTCATCCTGTATGTCCTATTTTCCCTCCTCACCTTCTCTGGCTGCCTGGTCCCTGGTGTCTTCCTGCCTGCTGC